CACCACAGAGCTCTGTGACTGAACGGAGAGCAATTTGTTTGGCAAGGTTTTGAGCTGGATGGGACAGCGGGGACAGCCATAACTCACCAGCTGCCTCTCCACAGAGGGCATTCATTGGCTCCAGGCTTTCACCCTGTGCCATGTCAGAGGACACGGGTAACCTAGCCTCCAGTGTGTTCCTACATGACAAATGACAAACAGTCATTACAACCAGCTGCTCATGAAATAAAAACGCCATGGGTTCACTACCTCTAAGATGAAGTAAGCGCATTTTTAGTTTGTGGGTTCTGTATAAATAGCACATTTAGAATATAAGGGATGATTCTGTTTTAATTCAAACAAGGAAAATTATGTAAATAATTCTAGAGAAACATGGTAATATACTTACTCCTTTGAAACAAACATCAGCTTGGTTTTGATGTACCGGATGTAAGGACTATCCTCTGAAAGAGAATCAGTTTACTTGTGACTTAATGCATCATATTCATCTCTATCACTACCAAAGGTATTTACATAACAAGCAAAAAGTGTCTGCAAAAACATTTGGTGCCTTTACCTCCACTCTTCTCAGAGTAGTATTTTCCAAAAGCCTCATCTTTAGGGATGTTAGGATACAAATAAAGTAGAGGATTTTCTGGGATATTTCCTGACTCTAAGAGCTGGAAATTCCTGATGATTTCATGGAAGGGGATCTGAATAAGATCATCTTTGGTGAAGGGCTGGACTGTATTTATGTGAGGTTCACCTAAAGTAGATAAAAGTATGGTCATACAGAGAAAATAGTGAGTTTGACAACTGTGAATGGAAGCTTGTCTGTGTTTTTGTGCAACATTTAGAAAATGGGGTTAGATAATTAATTAAATGAAAAATGTCTCACCAGTACTGGTGTTTTCCACCCAGGAGAAGGTGATTCCTCCAATGACACTTTCACTGAAGCGCAACAAGAATGTGCCTCTCTGTTTTTTCTTCAGGAGTGACTTCTCTGTGCCTTTGCTCACAAAACCCATGATGAGGCTGCAGCACAGATACAAATTCTTATTCAAACAAGAAACTTTTCATGTTTACCATGAATGACAGGCATGAGCTAAACTGTTCTGTATTAAACCTAGATTAAATTGTGTTCAGAAAACCTACCCATCCCTCCACAAGTCTTCCAGGTATGTTTTCACCATCGCCAAGATGCCATCAAACCACACCCAGAAAGTGCTCGGAGTATTATCCTTTAACAAAAAGGATGGAAAATGTCATTAGTACACACCTAGTGTATTCATGAACTAGTAAGAATCTACAGCCATGCTAGTGGTTCAGTGAGGCTCTGTGTCCAATGCGAGGATGGATAAATGCTGAGGTGCACAGTTTGTTTCTGATCCTAATTAGTTGCAGTGAATTAAATGTAAAGATGACAGCTGTTGATATGGAAGTTCTTTATTAGACATATTACATACACATCTCTTAACATGTTCATGTTTAGTAGGTAATATTAACCATGTTTTATACTGTAGTTTACCATGTTAGGTAGCTAGCAGTCATATTAGGACTAAGCCCAAAGTACATGATGAGAATATCATTAGGTATTTGGCCATAAACCAAAATATCTGACAAACTGCCATTTGCACCTGATGATGGCAGGGACCACTAAAGCAACGACAATTAACATCAAGGGGTGACAGCAATATCCCTCAAACCAAGCTGAAAATTATTTTCTAGGATTCAGTATTCTCACCTTGCTGAATTTTGGCCAAGTGACTTTGCAGTTTTCATAGTTCCGCTGCTTTCCTGGTGGAACAATAAAAAAAAAAAAGTCATGTATTTTGCAAGCTTAACTCACTGACATAACCCATGAATGACGCTGAATTATTATTGTGCAATTCTTAACATAACATGACAAATCAATGTGAACTGCGCACAAGCGCCGCTGGGTGTCTTCATACTGTAATTCCAATGCAGTACTATTAATACACAATTACACAGGTGGCAAGCAGCACATAGATATAAATTAAAGAACTGTTATACATAGTAGATGTCGTGAGAGGTTATGTGCAATCTGACTTTTTACATTGTTACCACGACACTTTCTGTACACTGTGCCTTGTCTTCCTTCACAACTACAGTTTCCTCTGACACACGACACATGAAAAACTGGATATAAAAATGTTTAGAAGGTTTTAGGCATCATAAGTAAAAGAAGAACAATTTACCACCTTCTCCACTCCACAGGGCACAGTATGTAAATATGTCTGTTCATATGAGAAACTGAATAAGCAAAACAGCCATTCACTCAAAAACCACTTAGCAAGAGATGTAGGACTTCTTTTGGTTAATCAAAAATTTATCAATGAATTTAAATCAAACAACATGCAAAAAGAGCCAAAATGCATCCTAGCCTAGCGCTAGCGTTTCTAGATATGAAAAGTATTGCTAAGGCTTGAGATATATTTTTTATCTTTAAATGTAAACAAATTCATCTTAAATTTCAGTAAGGATTTTAGTAACGTGTCAAAATCAGGCCGATGTGTTTTTGTGATATCATGCTTGACTCTTCAGCCCAATTAATAAAGCAAACACAAGCAACTGAAGCAGAGCACAGAAGTAGAATTTACCAAAGAGTCTGTGTGCAATCATCTCCAGCTGAGCATCATTCAGACCACGTTTGGTGGCAGACTGAAACTGCCAGCTCAACATCTCTCCAAACTGTGGCCAAGGGGCTGCAGGAGCGTTGGCAAAGAACATGACGTCCTGGAGAAACAAACGCACATTAACAATATACAGAAAATTATTTTTACTGGCTTCTAACTGAAAAACAGCACAAATAAACTGCAAATTGTAACATGATGGGTGTGTTAGTGATGGCAGTCTCTCACCTTAGTGTCCTGACTGAGCATGTTGAACCAGAGGACAGATGCCCAGGCACTCAGCTGTTGGCTGGAATTGGAGATGATGACCACTGGGAGGGAGGAGGCCTAGGTTGAATCCCAGGGAAAAACAACTTGTATTTAGGTCACAGTTCCATAATAAAAACAATACACACAATCCTATAAAGCTTGTAGGTTAAATACAGTTTTTTTTTATAAAACCAGCAATGTAACAAGAAAATAAGCAGAAGAGATTCCACCTGCAACTCCACTGACAAGCCTTTCAGCTCAAATACAGTTTTGAAGATGATGACATGCAA